AACAATAACGTAGAGTATGAAACATTCTCAGTGCAATAAGGCTATTGGTGTTTTTTTTTTTTATGAGACGGTAGCCAAGGCTTGTTCTGTTGGGAAATGCGAGTAGCAGTAACTTAAACCTTTTATGCTTCATTTACAGACTTATATACAAACACCACAATTAGCTGTATGAAGACCGTAACTCTATCCCCAGTTTAAAGAGGAAAGTAACTGTAAAGTACTTGGAATTTAAGCTGATGAGGATATTTTTCACACTGAGATTGAGAAAGCATTTCCGAAAGCACTCTACATATACTATAGGGCTGACTAAATGAGCACACAAAAAGTGCTGGAAACTAGGATCCTTACTGTTGACAAGGTAGATGCAGATACCTAATTTGGAAAAGAATGGGAAGAAACTCATAGTATTGAATTGGGATATAAGCATCAGCAAGAACTTAGGACTTTCAATACACAAACATAACATAAGATGCATTAATCAATACTGATGTGGATGGCTGTGTATGTGCATATGTGTTTTATATAGATCTATTTCTTAAATCTAACTATACATCCATTTCCCTGCTGAGATGATCTATAACTAAAATACTCCAACTGCAATGAACACTAGAGCCCAATTCTTAGTTTTTAAAATGTTCTCTACTACAAAGAACTGGAACTCTTTGGAAAAACAACTGATTACAGAGCTGGGGCAAGGAAATGATATGATGGATCTAACAATTTTTGATGCCAGAAATTAAAGAAACAGTCATGGAATGCATGGGGCATTTCCAAGGGATCATTAGCCTGAAAGGGTCCTCAACCTGGGACAGTCTGCACACTAAAATAATGTTAGTGAAGAATTAAGACATTTAATAAGACAAAAATTCATGAGTTGAAGCTGTTAATAATATGGAGAGAACAAAACGTTAATATAGTGTTAATTAATAAATACAGAATAACAGTGCAAAAAAATCATCATTTTGCCAACTATCATGTGCAAAATGAATCAAATGAAAACTGGTGAGTGAAAATTTGAAAATAAAAGATATTACATAAGTCTTAAAGTATCTTTACAAGCTACTGACTTCTTAAAAAAATATATTATTAATTCAGTCAAGCAATTTTAAGAGAAACGCCCTGTAAAAATCACCTAAAATCACTGGATGAATCTGTTAAAATGTGCACTGTGCACTGAGAAGGACACAAAATCATTTCTAGACAATGTTACCAAAAACGCTTAACTTGCATGTAGTCATAAGGAAATAGAAAAAATACGAATTGAGACATGTTCTGTGAAAGCTGGCCTGAACTGGAAGGTAAAGAAGGACTAGAAGCGTCTGAAAGTGAAGGAGACTGAAGAGACCTACAACTGCAAATGACATGATCTACACAACATCTTAGTACTATAACGGACAGGAATAAATATCCAGTCTTGATATTGACGTCATGGCTATGTAAGAGAATATACTTATTCTTAGGAAACAAGTAGTTGGGAGTAAAAGGTAATTGTGTGCAACTTATTAGTGCCACAGTTCATAACAATAATTTCTAAAATAACAGTGTAATTAGATTCAGAATTCCTTTTGGCTCCAAAATAAATATCTCCATGATTTTAGCCTTTCAAATATATAATAAACAAAGAAATTCAAAGAGCTACTCAATTAAGCAAAAATTTGGGGAGTTTATTAAAAAGGAATCTATAGTTAAATGAATTTAATAAAAGATTATTGACTAGTTAGTCTCTTTTCAAAGAGTTTAACCACTATTGGAGTAGAAAAGACATACAGAAAAGACAAAAGGTAAGAATCAAAAACGAAATAAAAGTTGTTACTAAAGTCATACTGAGACGGAGCACCTATTATATTAGCTAGTATTTATATTTTATCTAGCAGTTAAAAGTCACTAGAAACTGTACTAACTGCTTTGTATGATGACACATTGAATGTGTCAGCAATCTTAAAGATACATACTATTATTATTCCATTTTACAGACTAAGACACAGAGAAACTGAGCATCTGACCACAGGTTATGAGGTAACGTATTAATTCCATCACAGGAGACTGAATGAAGGAAACAGCACTTGAGTTGACCTTAAAAGATGACTATAATTTCAAATAATAAGAGAAGTACAACAATATGCTGAGTTGGAAGAAAAATGAAAATGAAGAAAGATACAGCTGAGCACCCCTGACACATAAACCCAAGTTTTTAAGTATTGACATGATGCCACAAGTGAAATAGTATACATTTAACCTCATGTGACAAGACACAGTCTTGTCTTTTTTAGTGCAAGTGCACTAAAAATATTACATAAATTATCTTCAGGCAATATATATATATAGGTGCAAACGAAACAAAAATGAATTTCATGCTTAGATTTGGGTTCCCTCTCCAACTTACCTTCTGCAATTTTAAATATTCCCTAACTAAACAATCTAAAATCTCAATCTTTCAAGCAAGGGTTACTCAACCTGAATAATTATAGAGTTTGGTACGTAAGATGTGGAAACAAATGGATGAGAGTAGAGGACAGAAGACTGGACAAATGCAAAACAAAGCATACCATCATGAGGATTAGTACAGTCACTGTTAGTAAACAAAATTCTGGTGTAATGCAACAAATTCAATATAGGCAGTCAATGTTTGAGACATCCAACCAAACCAGTGAACACTGAGCACCCCTTATGGGAAATGCTGGAGATTGTATGGTTTTTTTTTTAATTTCATTTCATTTTATGACACAATTTCATAGTCTCTGGGATTTCCCCCAGCCCCTCCCCATACCTCTCCTCATGGTGGGTTCCTCCACCTTGTTGCAGTGTTACAGTTCAAATCCAGTCATGATTCCTTCTTTGTAAGCATGTACCATGCATAGAGTTGTATGGGGTTTCTTAATGTGAACATTCCAAACATTAGTGAGATAGCTTTAGAATGGGTCCCCATCAAAATATAAAATTTGTGACTCATATATACCTTACGCACACAGTATGAAGGTAAATGTATACAATATTTTGAATAATTCTAGGCATGAAACAAAGTTTTATAATGTAGAATTTTCTGTCTATGACATCATACTGCCACCTAAAAGTCTGGCATTTTGGAGTATTTTGGATTTCCAATTTTCACACAAGAGACATTTAACTTGTATCAATAAAAACTTATTTCACTACAATCTCCCCTAAACCAGTACAAAAGCAAAAATACTGAGAATATTTTCATCTTGACCTTCTACACACCTACATAATAACTGCATTTCACAGTCTATTACTGTAAAAAAAAAATGTGAAATCGTTGGAAAACAGCACAGCTAAAATAATACAATCTGCCTTAATTTAACAAAGACTATAAATGTTTTAGAAAACAGCAAATGAAAAGTGAGTAAATCTCATAGCTGCGCTATTATAAGATACATTTTTGTCATAATATTTATGAAAACAAAGTGATTCAATTACATGAATGTAATTAGTAATGTATTCCATGAACTCTATTAGAGCAGAAGTTCTAATCAGAAAATCAACCAGGCATGAATGCTTAATGTAAGCTCTTCTTGAGTTGGTAGCTGATATAATTGCTTGCTCATATTAATAAGTAAAAGTATTATTTAGGCTCCATATTAAGTTAATTACAGATAAAGAAAACATGTAACATTGAAAAAACTGCATTTCTTGACACATATATGTACTAATGAAAACCTTCTTTTGGGGACAGTAAAATCTATATCTGAAGAACATATGACCAAAGTTCAAGTATATCACAAAACCATTTAAAAGCATCAAAATTTCATGAAACACTTAAGCACTAAAACACTAAAAAATGTATCATTGTTTCGCATACACTTACTATCAGCACTTGAGAAGCAAAAGTTAGATCTGACTAACCGTAAAATTAAAGATCAAGTGAATAATTTAAAAAATGGAACATTGAAATATTCTAAAAAAAAATTGACTATCCTTTTTATGTCCAATTGAAATTCTGATAGGAAACAAAGTCCTTACTGCCTTAAAATCACAAGACAGTGATTAAAAACGAGAGTAGCATTGACAATCAATATAAAGATCCTGAATTATACAACAGCATCTGGGAGGACATTGGCTAGCAAAACAGACCTACTTTAACAGCAGGATAAAGAAGAGAGGACATTCCTTAATCCCCAGCATGGCAGGAGTGGGAACTCACTATCCAACAAAAAAGATTACAATTTGTCAGTTTACATTTTAGCTCTAGAAAGAAGGGTCTCATGAACGATTTGGAGATGAAATACAATTCTAAGTAGTCTTAAGTTCTAATAACTTGAGCTTCTTGGCATAAGCCAACGTAAACCTTTTCTGTGGGAACTAAATATATCTGAAGTCCCACAAGATTCTTACAGATAGAATTAAAGCAAAAATTAATCTAGAATTACAATATTCACAGGGAAATAAAACATAAGATGTCTGGAGAAGAAACAAACAGAATTATAGTTTTATGAACATCTACTATTAGAAAATAAACATAGAACATAAAAGAACCACTTCTGAAAAGTTACTTTAAAGCAAAAAACTAAAAGATAAGCAAGAAAAAGTTATGAAAAGAAATAAGCCAAGTATGATAATTCAACAAGAAGACATTTTTCAAACAGTATTTTCAACAACTGGGGAAAATGGCCAATGAACAAACATTAGGTAATCAACCAACTTCTTTCTGATTTTTGCTAAGTACAGCAACAGCATAATTTTTATTTAAGATGTCAATTTTTTTAGATGTGTATACTACAGTATTACTTATGACTTGTTATAAAATATGTCACCAAAGAAGAAAAGGACAAGTTGAAGAAAATATAAATCAATGTGGAAAATATTAAACCTCAGTGATGTGTAAATGTGAAACTTCGTATAAGAAAAAAAAAATGAAAACTCAACGGATAGCATAATCATACTATTATATGTAACCAAAAAATTAGATAACTGGAAGAAGAATCTGAAGAGAGTTCTCCTATTGTGATAAAACATAGCAAAAAACAAAACAATACAAAACTCACCTTCCTTTGGGCTCACTGCTGCAGGAAGAATATTCCAATCAAGGGTCCACGTAGGACAAGGGTGGGGAGAAAACAGCACTTCAATGCCTTTTTCCTAGAAAAGGGAATAGTCTGTTTCCGCATTAATGAATCAATACAATCCTCATGTTCTTGAGTATCAATTTTCTTTTTCCTATGCTGCCAAGGAGGCATATAACTAGTACTAATCATGAAATATTCCCACAACCGTATATTTTAAAAATTGTTGGCAGAAAATACATAGAAACAGTAAGTTACTGGAAATTCAGTGACATTAAAAGTCACCTCAGCATAAAGATTTTGTCAGAAACAATGCCCAGAGGTATGTAATAAAAAATTCACACTCAATATGTCCATTAAAGTCTATCTATGAAACTTAACACAATCCATAAGGTACATTTACAACTCAAAAAGCACTACTAACCATTTACCTATCAGTGTTTTACTTGTAAAATCTGTAGAAAAAGATTTTTTTCAGCTTAACATTTTGAAGAAAAAGGACTGTTGCTTAATATCCTAAAAACTTCTCAGGATGCGGGCCCAGCCTAGTGGCCTAGTGGCTAAAGTCCTCACCTTACAATATGTGAGCTGGTTCTAATCCCAACAGCCCCGCTTCCCAACCCACTCCCTGCTTGTGGCCTGGCAAAGCAGTCCGGGATGGTCCAAAGCCTTGGGATACTGCACTCATGTGGGAGACCTGGAAGAGGTTCCAGGCTCCTGGCTTTGGATAGGCTCAGCTCTGGCCGTTGCAGTCACTTGCGGAATGAATCTGCAAATAGAAGATGTTCCTCTCTGTCTCTCCTCCTTTCTGTATATCTGCCTTTCCAATAAAAATAAATAAACCTTAAAAAAACAAAACAAATAAAAAAAAAACTTCTCAGGCTACTTTCTTTTTGATCTACAGATAGCAATTTAAGCACGGATTCAAAGATCCCTCCCACTGATAGATAGCTATATTTTCATTATTTTTAGCTCTGAGAAAAATCTATCCAAAATAAAAATCTTAGGATAGGCATTGTGGTTCAGCATATTACAAGTCTGCGTTGGAAGCCTGCAACCCATAATTGAATCCCAGTTTGAATCATGAATCTACCACTTCCAACTCAAACTTTGGTTAATGCCTGAGAAGGCAACTGATGACTGCCCAAGAACTCGAGTCCCTCTTACCCATATGGGAGAGGTGAATGGAGCTTCTGGCTGTTGACTTCTTTCAGCCAGGGCCAGCTCTGGCTGCTGTATCTGGGGAGTGAACCAGCAAATGAAACCTGTCTCTGTCCCTCCCTCTCCCTCTGCCTTTCAAACAAAACTTGAACATCTCTAAGACTTCAGTAGTAACACCTTTATATCAGCTAGTTAATTAATTAATTTCTATCCTGAAAACTATCTGAATTTGTTTCCCAAGGGATACAGTGACAGATCTATTTGCTCGGGCTGGAACCCATTTTCCTCCAGGAAAAAATAAACACATCCCTTTGCCATAATATAACCATCTTCCATCTCCTTTACTCTTGTCTAAATACACTGTTCTTTCTTGTTAATTTTCATTTTGCAAAATTCTTTCCTGTCTTAGGGTCTCTTTAGAAAAACAACTATGTTGAGTATTTAATTTACTATGAAATTTATCCTTCAAAAGCACATATTTCAGAATTTTTCAGAATGTTCGGTGAATATCAGCATTATTTAACTTATAATTCCCTAAAGAAGCTTCACTCACACCTACACAGACATGAACCAGAACTCTGCTAACAATGTAGCCATCTGATCAAAGCACATCAAAGTCTGGACATGGCTGATGACTTCTAAAATCAAGTATATAATTATGTTTCATCAAAAGGCTGCAGGGTTTTTAGCTAAAGAGGTAAAGAACTCAGGGTCACCACCAAAGTTATTTTTTTTGTATACTTTAAAAATTTTAATCAGTAAACTTCCTAGTAATTATGAAACTAAAATACTTTCTAACATAAATGGAAATATAATGAATATTTTCCAATGCGATTCAGATGAATAACTCAAACTACTTCATGAATTTTGCCCTATCTGAACAAATCTTCAAATAGTTTATTAAAAGGAAAACATCTTGGAGGCCAGTGCTGTAGTATAGTGGGTAAAGCTGCTGCCTGGTCCTGCAATCTGATTCAAATCCCTGCTAATGTGCCTAGCGAAGCAGCACAGGATGGCCTCAGTGCTTGGGCTTCTGTACCAATGTACTAGTCCCAGAAGAAGCTCCTGGCTCCTGGTTTTGGACCAGCCCAGCTCCAGCCAATGCAGCCATTTGGGGAGTGAACCAGTAAGCAAAAAATTCTTTCTCTCTCTCGTTCCATCTTTTCGTCTCTTTCTCTGACTATTCTCTTTTCCTGTAACTTTGCCTTTTAAATAAAATAAGTAACCTTTTAAAAAAAAGCAAAATATTTTTGCAGAAAAAGCCTATTAGTAAAACCTTTATAAGCAGTATCAAGAAAAATTATACTCCAAAGAGATAAATAATGCACACGTATTTTCACTGTCTGTAACACATTTAAAAATCAAATAAATAAAAATGAATTCTAGAAACAAATTCAGAAAAAACATTCCAAAGTAAACTGATTTATTCATCTTTGTATGACTAACTTCTAGTCATCAGCTCAAAATAAGACTCTGACCAAAACCTTTTAACAAAAAACAAAAAATAGTAAGTTAAAAAATATATATGTAAACAGGCATGTTATGACCTGAGCTAAAGTCCGAATATTTTGAAAAAGTTTAGAGAAAAATAAATTTTAGTTTATATTGCTGCTCACTTCAATCCAAAGATACAAAATATTAAAAATTTTCAATTTACCACACTTCACCTAAACGCAAAAGGCTAACAGACACATTAATTACTAAAACGTGCTGTGGGACATGTACAAATAAATCATCACAAAAATAATGTCAAAAATGGATTGCAAGTTAGGGTGGAATGCTTGGAAAGATGATCACATGGAATTTCCCGATGAAAATTTTAGTAAAACAAAGTAAGTACCATCAATTTGGTCATAGTTGGTCTCGGTCCTCCTGTAAATAAAGGCTCGTTTGGTTCCTCTTGACCTTGGACCTCACTGGAGTTTGGATGCTGCTCTGTTGAGCTGGTCGATAACTCTGGTAGATGCAGAAACTCGATCCCACATTTCGAAGCTGCTATTTTTACTCTCGGAACTTCCTGAATCCGCTGGTACCAAGAGGTTAGAAGAGGGAACTGTACTAGCTTCTCAGAAAATTTCTTGCAGATAATTACCTAGGCAAGAAAAGGATAACATATTATTACATATTTTTATCCGAGACAGCTGTACTGAGATACATTTATATTAAATCCACACATTTAAGTATACAGTTCCAAAAGAGGTTTTAGTAAAAGATCTAGTTGTGCAACACCACAATTCAGTTCCAGAAAACTTATATCACTCTCCAAACTTCCCTTGTGGTCACGTGCCATCAATCTCCCACGATCAGCTACAGACAACTGATTTGCTTTCCGTTTTCATAATTTTACCCTAGCTAGAATTTCAAATAAATGGAATCGTAAGGTAGATGTCTTTTCTCACTTGGAATGTTTTTGATGTTCATCCACACTTACCAATGGCTGGTTGAGTTTTATTATGGATAGTAGTTACACTGTGGATGCACTGTATTTTGCTTATACTTCCAAAAGTCGATGGTAGGGGTGAGTCTATGGGTTCAACAGCTCATTCCTCTGACCACAAGCACCAGCATCCCATATGGGCACCAGTCCATGTCCTGGCTGCTGCATTTCTGATTCCCAGCTCACGGTCTGGGAAAGCAGCCATTTGCGGAGTAAAACAGCAGGTAGAAGGTCTTTGTCTCCGTCTCTCTTCTATAAAAATGCCTTTCTAAAATAACATAGGTCTTAAAAAAAAAAGAGCTAATGAGCCTGGCACCATAGCATGCTGGCTAAAGTCTTCACCTTGTATGTGCTGAGATCCCATATGCATGCCAGTGGCTATCCTGGTACCCTGCTTCCCATCCCACTCCCTGCTTGTGGCCTGGGAAAGCAGCTGAGGATGACCCAAAGCCTTGGGACCCTGTACCCAAGTGGGAGATCCAGAAGCAGCTCCTGGCTCCTGGCTTCAGATCAGCTCAGCTCTGGCTGTTGTGGCCACTTGCGGAGTGAACCAGTGAACAGAAGAGCTTCCTCTGTATATATGCCTTGCAATAAAAATAATAAACTTTTAAAAATGTTGACGGTAAATGTTTGAATGTTTATAGATTTATCTATTATTATAAATAATGTGGTTATCCATATTCATGTAGCAGTGTTATGTGGAAATATTTGTCATTTCTTAGGAGTTGGATATGCAGGAGTCAAATTGCTAGGTTGTATAGTAATTGTGTGTCTAACTTTGAAGGAAACTGCCAAGCTGTTCGCCATGCTGGCCATATCATTCTACACTCCTACTAGCAATGTGCAGAGATTCCAGTCTCCCCAGATCTGCAATATTTGATATTGTCAGTCTTTTTTATTTCAGCAACTCTTGTAGGTGTGTAATAGCATCACACTGTAAGCCTCAATTTTTCATTTCCCCATAAATAACCACAGTGTCTTAATGTGTTTACCTGCCATTTGTGTATGTTCTGTGATATATCTTAATATCATTCATTTCATAAAAACTGGAGTAACTTAACAGTAAGAAAAAAACGTTAAAACTTGGGTGAGGGTCTTAATCTTACTTTAAAAGGATAAACGCACTGTAACTAAGCATATGAAAAAAGGCTGATCATCACACATCATGGAGAACTGCAAACTAAAGCAAGGAGATGTGGCCACACACTTACATTGACAATGGTCTGAAACACTGACACCAAATGATGGTGAGGAGGTGGTGCAACCGAAGCTCATCCTTTGCTCGCGGGCACACAAAGAGTACACTCAATTTAAAAGACAGTTCAGCAGTTTCTTACAAAACTAAACATACTCCCACCATAAAACCTAGTAATTGTGCTTCAGATGAGACAGAAACTTATGTCCATATAAAATCTGAATACAGATGTTTTTAGTTTTGTGTATAATAGCTAAAAGTTAGAAATACGCAAGATATCCATTGGAAGGTAAGTGAACAACTGTGTTTTAGTCACATAATGCAAGAAACCAATACCACAAAGAAAACGGAGAAAGAATACGAGTAATCATAACAGAATGAATATTAATACCAATGATGACATTTGTGAATGCATACATAAACAGTACATTTGCAAATCATTCTGGTGAACTTTACATCTTTTATCAATTGCCTACCATTCATTAGTGGCTTATTTTTAATCCACTCCAAGAATTCCTGTGTGGGCCCAGCGCGGTGGCGCAAGTGGTTGGGGTCCTCGCCTTGCACGACCAGGATCCCATATGGGCGCTGGTTCTAGTCCTGGCAGCCCCGCTTCCCTTCCAGCTCCCTGCCTGTGGCCCAGGAGGGCGGTCGAGGACGGCCCAAAGCTTTGGGACCCTGCACCCGCGTGGGAGACCCGGAAGAGGCTCCTGGCTTCGGATCGGCATAGCATCGGCCATTGCGCTCACTTGGGGAGTGAGTCGTTGGACGGAAGATCTTCCTCTCTGTCTCTCCTCTCTGTATATCTGCCTTTCCAGTAAAAAAATAAAAAATAAATAAATCTTTAAAAAAAATGTGTTAAAAAAAAAAAAGAATTCCTGTGTAATAAACTCCCTTTAAACCTGGAAAGCCAAGCCCCATCTACACCCCACATCAGAGTGTGGCTATGAGTCCCAACATCTCTGGCTTCCAGTTCAGCTTCCTGCGAATATTCCCGGCAAGGCAGCAAGTGATTGTCCTTGTTTCCAAGCACCTGCTAATCATGTGGGAGAGCTAGTTGGGCCTAGGCTTGGCTACTGGGGAATTCGGGAAGTGAACTGGTAGATGGAAGATTTTCTCTCTTTCTTTCTGTCACCATGACTATTTCAATTAAATGGAAGCAAACAAACATTTTTTAAAAATCTGAAACGTCTTCAGGGACATATTGACACAGAACCTCATTGTGTGCCATAAGCTCTCAACACAATGAATAGAGTTAAATGGATAGAACTATGTCAAAAACCTAACATACATATTAGGTTATCAGATCAAATGTTGCTGTGTCACACAGTGCTTTGTGCAGTAACTCTTATGTACTTAATGACTCCCAAACCCAGATAATAATATTGACAACTCACATATACCAAAGAGAAGCTGTAAAGTGTTTCCTTTAAGTGAAAAGGTGAAAGTTCTAGTCTTTTAAGAAAAAAACAATCATGTATTGAAACTGCTAAGGCTTGTCTTTTATTCATAAAATTCTACAAATGCACAAAGATCTTGGTGCTAATTTTGCTCTAACACCTCAACCTACAAAGTGATGACCAAATTCCACAATAAACACTGCTTAAAGTTTAAACAGCATTAAATTTGTATAATCGTGCATAAGAAACAACATAGTACACAAACAAGGAGAGATACTATCCTTAGTTCCAGGCTTATATTGGGGGTCATGAAACATATCTCCTCATGTAACTGGAGGCAACGGTAACATTATTCAGAGGACTTTTCAAAAAAATGCAAAGCAGCACGTGAAATAAGATTTAAAATTTTTCAAATTACAAAACTGAAAGCCATTTTTCCTGATGCAAGGTTATATTTTTTTGTTTCCGTTTGTTAAGATGGCTTCTCCCCTATTATGACACCAAATTTCAGTTTCTTTGAAAATTAGAGTGTTCTTGCTTGAGAGGCATTTTATGTTGTTTCCATAGAAACCATGACAATATCACAGATTATGATTATTATAGATAGATGTATAAAAAGGTCAAGTCACAGAAAGTCTCTACTACTATTTCTGACAATTTACCAAAGCAGACCCAAAAGAATAGGAATTAATGAGGAATTCACATGTATATACATTGCACTATATTTTATCTGAACTTTTAGATTAAATAAAAACAAGTAAGGATAGGGCTATATGAAACCCTCTTTAAATATTGTAAGCACTTAAAACACTGCATTGTAAATAATACTAACTCAAATGAAAGACTAAACAATGAAGAAGTCTATTTTCAGCGAATAATCTTTTAAATTGTGGTTTTCAAACTGCTGCTTATAACCCACTGGGAAGTCGTGAAATCTACATAAAATGGTCTTTAAAAAACGAAACAGAAAATATCAGAGTACCATAATATGGCAAGCTATTTTCAATTTATAAATATGTATTTAAATATTTATGATATGAAAATTACATTTATTTTATACAATCATCTTACAAAATGAATGATCTGTAAATTACAGTAAAAAAATCTGAAAATTACTCTCATTTGAAATTCTGGAAGTTAAAAGGTTTGTGATTCTTTAAAAAAATTCTTAGCTGGAAATAGAAAAGTTTACAATGGAACTGAACTCAAGAAGTGATAAAATAATACCAGGAATGTTGCGTTTTTCTTACTTTTCCTTTACTAGTTTATTACATGGCAGCTTCCCTTCCTTTTGCAACTAGTTGAGACTGAATAATAATTCAAATTCCAAAGAAATTGAGGAATTTTGCTGTGTATCACAGATCACCTAATTTCATCGATATGCTTGGACAGCTAGCTAATACCAAACAACTCATAGCCACTGAATTAGTCATTACATTCATTAATAAGCATTTAAGTGGATAATGTAAACTGTTCAATGAAAATTAAATTTGTTACTAAGAAATGCCTCTGGAAAAAGAAAAACTTACCTGGCTTATTAGGTTAAAAATCACTAAAAATATTACAAAATTCCTTAAGGATAGGAAGGAAGTCAAATATAATTTACTCCTCAAACAGTAGCTAATGGGGGTGGTCACTGTGGTGTAGTGAATTAAGCTTCCATATGGGTTGCCTGCATCTTCATCAGAGTGTTGGGATTCAGGTTTGAGTCCTGGCTAAGCCAATTCCAATGCAGCTTCCTACTTACACACCTGGGAAACACTGTGTGAGAGCCATGTACATGGGCCCCTATCTCCCAAGTAGGAAACCTGGATGGAGATTTTGGCTCCTGGTTCAGGTTGCCCTAGCCTTTCCTGTTGGTAGCTATCTAAGAAATGAAAACAGCAGCTGGAAAATTTCTGTCTTGCTCTCTGTTGCTCTTTCAAATTGATAGATAAATAAACCTTTTAAGAAAAGGTTAAAAATGTAGACATCAAGGTCACAAAATGAAACCTTAGCAACTAGTTAGTTGCAATTTGTAATAACAGACAGAAAGTGTGTCTGAAACAAGATGTTAAATCTATTTTCAGCTGTGCATTTATTTCCAATCATCTATTAAACAAAACAAGTTGTGCTTATTTCATTTTCTGCCATGCCTATTGTTTTGGAAATATGCCTGGACTCACACACATTTAGGTGGGTAGCATAAGCAATGAAAACACAGCAATCATTCTGTATCAACGGAAATACAATCCTAATATCCTATTTTTCACTTTTAGATCAGAATCACTAGGTTAAAACTGGGAACTCTTGGGGACAGGTAAGACACTGCAGATAAGCAGCTGTCTGGAATGCTGCCTTCCATACTAAAAGGCCTGAATGAAGGCCATCTCAGTTCCTCCATTTTTTGTTTGCAATTTCCTGCTAATGGGAAGCAACAGCTGATGGATCAAGAACTTGTGCCCCTACCACTTACATTGGAGAACTAGAGAGAGTTCTGGAATCCTACCCTGGGTCTGGCCCATCCCAGGTGTTGTGGTGTTTGGGAAATAAAATAGTAAATAGAAAGTCTCCCTGCCCTCCTCCTCTCTCTCTCTCTCTGTGTATGTGTGTGTGTGTGTGTGTGTGTGTGTGTGTGTGTGTATACATATATATATGAGTGTGTGTTGAATGGGAAGTGTAGGGGTCAGGAAATTATGGGATGGCAGCGCTTGCAAGAGGAAAATTAGCCAATTGAGCCATTGTACCAGCCCCAGAATGCAATCTTCATAAAAATAAAATTACCCTAAACTCTTAAGAACATAACAAGATACTGAAAATACAAAATTTATCACCAAACAAGTTGTATCCATCATTTTTAAAATATGTCCGAAAATGAGATCCTAGTTCGTCTCAATGGAGAACACCAAAAGAGACATTTACTACAAATCTCTGTCTAAACATCAATTGCTAAATGAGGAATGGTTTTACTTTAGCTTAAAAAAAAAAAAAAAACGTACTTAAACATGCAATTCAACGCATCGGAAGTTAAAACACACAGAATTAAATCCTAAATTCTGGGCCCGGCAGGATCCCATATGGGCGCCGGTTCTAATCCCGGTAGCTCCACTTCCCATCCAGCAACCTGCCTGTGGCCTGGGAAAGCAGTCGAGGACGGCCCAAAGCTTTGGGACCCTGCACCCACTTGGGAGACCCAGAAGAAGTTCCTGGATCCTGGCTTCAGCTCGGCATAGCATTGGCCGTTGTGCTCACTTGGGGAGTGAATCATCGGACAGAAGATCTTCCTCTCTGTCTCTGCTCCTCTCTGTATATCTGACTTTCCAATAAACAAATAAATGTTAAAAAAAAAAAATCCTAAGTTCTTCTGAAAATTCATAACTTGGCAACTTCTGTCTTACAGAAATAATCTTTGGAATAATTCTTAAAAAATATGTTTATTTACCAATAGGAAATAAACTACATAATTTTCTGTTGTCAGAGTGATGCATTAGCTATTAGAAGGTTCTAGTGAATGAGTGAAAGGAGAAGAGGGACATAAAGTGTTTTTAATTTATTCCTTTTGAATTCAACTGTAAAACATTACAAAGGAGACAACACTGTCAGGACATTTCCATGGAGAGCTGGGCCATCATGAGTTAACTTCATGTGCTATTACCTACTTGAAAAGGCACATCCTGTTTAACACCTCAGCCACTCGACCCGCTACCAGTGTGTTTCTTAGGCTCCACTGTTTAGCAGGACTGGATATATTCTGTGTTCTTTTAGTTTTGAACCCTGGTAACCTAAACCCTAACATGGACAAATTAAGCAGGCTTTTTTTTTTAACCCCAACTTTATTCCTGCAGCTAAATATTCCTCGGTTCACTTCCATGCTTCTGATCCAAGTCTATTATCTTGATCTTGGCTGCTACTTACGAGCTGGACCCTGATTCTGAGCACTTGGACTGTTACTCTATTCACTTGAATGTGTACTAACACAAGCCTGAAGGCTTGGCAAAACTGCCACCATATCAACTAAAATGATTACCTTTTTTACCCATGATAAGTTAAAGGAGGAAAACATGATAAAAACAACACCAAAGATCTGACCAAAAAAAAAAGGATGACTGCCTGAGAGCCAATGTGCAGCTTCAGGAAAAATACAAGGGGGTAAAGGAAAATATTTGGAGAATTAGCTTACCAAAATGTGTCAAGAAAGCATTATTTAATCACGGAATACATATGTTAGAAAAGAGCTAATAAGTCTCTTAACTTAGCACTGAGATGAAAGCGAAGCTTTTCAGTCACGTCAGATACAGATATCTCACTAGTAGGCAGACAGACGTCTTGATTGGAGGGGAAAAACTCCTCTTGGTTAGGCATAGTTTTGCTTGATTAATCTTAATCAGCTAAACTGATTTTAAATTCAGTTAAAATACAATCCAAATGAGCTAAAAAGAAGATGGGCCTCCTGACAACGAACTATGATCTCCTTCTTGTAGGTGAATCCAACTTTCACCTTGGAGTTTGAAGTCAAATACTGAAGCCTTTTCTGTCACCTTGTCCTATTTTCTTGGTAGCACTTATTATTTTATGTAAATGTTATACACCGCTTACTTCCTCATTTATGTCTTCTGCTACTAGAATATTAACTCCACGTAGGCTGAGATCTTATCTGTTTTACTCATCACTATATTCCCAGTGCTCACATGGTGCCTGATAGAACAGATTTTACAATTTTTAAATAAATGTCTCAACTCAGTAAGTGGATGCACCGCTTTAATTCTCATAAGTTGGGAAAAAGAAAAACAAACAATTATTCGGAGAAGTCAAGAAAGCCAAATCTTTCAGTATGTCCCAAATGCCGACCCTAAGGACTGGGTTGGAGGCAAGGGAGGGACAGAGTCAAGGAGAAGAGAACCGAGAAACAACGTGACTGGGCAAGTAAAAAATGTCACGTCGGGAGTAGCGAATCACAATTCTAAACAATTCCTTACTCTTTTTTTTTCCCTATTATTTAATCTAGGAATATTTTTTGTTGCTAACCCTGTTTTGCTTCAGTTTTGAAGAAAACTGCTATTTAAAGAAATGACAATTGATCAACACCGCCCCATTTAGTAGTGAAGTGTAAATCCCCAAATACGAGGCTTTTGTATCGATTTTCAACACAAGTCTTTTTCTCATGTGTCAGTGGACATTGAAGTGCTGCTGAAGCAGGAGAATAAAATCTGATGTTTGATATCTTAGCAGGGGAAAGGGTGCATTGCTTCAAACAAGAAAAATGCAGCTCTTGAAACCCAAATGCAAGGCTGCATTCTCACATCACATTTGGTCCTTCTCAGAGAGGGAAGGGTAGAGAGTGAGAGGAGGAGGCGGAGCTTTCCCTTCTAGGAGAGAAAACTTTACATGGATTTTTTTTTAAGTCTCGCCCCTCTAATATGAGGAGATAATCACAATAGTAATTCAGAATAATATTAAGGTTACTAATTGCTAAAATTCCAACAACTCAAAAGTTATAATTACTACCGCGTACTGAGAGTAAACATTGCTCTCCCCTCATAGCATGGAAGCTTTCCTTTGTTCCACACACTATTCCTTTGGAATAGGTATTAGTACCTCCATGTTAGAGATGAGAAAAGGACACCATATTAGAAACTGTTTGGGGGCATGAAGACAGTAAAAACTACAATGAGAATCCAAATGTGTAGTTTTATAGATTGAAATTTGTAATAACGGCAACACTCTGGAGAAAACCTTACCAGGAAGTGATGGATACAGGGCAAGAGCACGATATCGGACAAGGTGAAGTACAGGCCTTCGGCAAACACGTGCTCCAGGGGCGGCAGGTCCGAGGCCTTGGCTTTCCTAATGTGAGCAGGCTCCCTGCTGCCAGGCACCGGCTCCTCCCCTACTGCAAGCCTGGAGAAGGCCACTCCGAGCTCCAGACTCTGAGGTGAGTCCCAGTCTTCGGAGCTCTCCCCCGTGAGGCTCTTGTTCTTCTCTTTTCCCTTAGCGTGGGGAGGCCCAGCGTCGGCGGCCTTCTGTCGTTTCAGCTTCTGCCTCCTGAGCTTATCGTCGTTATGCACTCGGACAGGCTCACTCAGCTTTCTTTCTAACTCGAGGATTTCTGCAGGGATGGCCTCCGGCTGGGCAGGAGACTCTCTGACAAAATTCTCAACAGCCAAAGGGATGGTGAGTTCACACAGCCTGGTCCACTGACTAACCTAAAAGACAAACCAAGAAGTGAGAGCATTTTCTTTACTTTTAACACAAGTTGAAAGAAAGGAATTTGTTTGGGAAATAAAACTGGTTAGAAAATTTAAGCCTTGAGTTAAACCACTTCTGTGATGGGTTTCATGAAGAAGGTTTATGATGGTACTTGAGTGAAAACATCGAGCAAGAGAGGTTAGGCATTCCTCTAGCCTGTCCCCAAACACACCATTTCTTACCAACATCTCAAAATACATACAACACACACACACACACACACACACACACACACGCAGAGCTGCCAACACATTGCATTGCTACATGAGCTCCTGCTTATGTGTAAATTATTCCCTTCAGAAATCTTCCACACCAAAAAAAATTAAGCATGCAAAACAAAGCTATTTTCTTAAATAACAACTCCAGACTTAACAAACAATAATGAAAATATCAGCAACCATGAAGGACTACTAAGTCTTTGGTTACTCTTTGGCAAATGAGACAATATTCCCAAGAGGCGTTTAAAATAAGCGGTGAAGCACATAGTCACCACCTTGTACCAAACAATGGAACACAGACCGTATATACTCACTTCAGCACAGGCTTTCAAGCAGGTCTTTTTAAAACCCAGAAGTTCCAAGATGTCTTTCTTCGAGGGATCTGCTTCGTATGATTTCTGAACGATGTGTCTCAGTACAACAGCAAGGCCTGCCCTACAGAAGTTGCCAGGCTGCTCCACCACTGCAGGTAAACAGCAACTCTGCACGATGGGTGGAAGGTCTTCCTTTGAAAGAATCTGTATTTCAACATCCTGGGACAGTGCCTTCCTTTGCAGTGAACTATCTGTACCTTCTTTGGTACGGACGAAGCAAACTTTAAAGAGGCTGCAGTCACAGTACGACAGTAAAAATAAAGTTACAGACGTATGAAGAGGAAAGATGTGTCCTCCTGCTTGGTGAGAGAAGTCCAGGTAGAGATACTCTTCTGTGAGACTTTTCTTAATGCCTTTCATTTTCTTCTTCCATCGGGTCACCTAAGGCATAAATATGAAATAGTTCCAGATCTTGGAAGATAATTTAGAAGTTAAAATCAAAGACGAATGTTTTAGAAATCTGTTCTAGAAATCAGTAAAGGTGTGTGATATAATGATGCTACAAGAGTACTCCCAAATACCAAACCAAGGACAAAAAAATTCAAAAGCAAAATATTTCTACCCTGTGAAACTAACAAGTCTTGGGGGGTAATTTTGCACCCAGTTCCTTTAAAAAGAGTACACCTTACACAACACATTTCTACTTGCTCTTTTCTTACACACGCCCATAACAAATAACCTTTGCTAGCTCTGCCTTCGCCATAAATGCAAAACCTGGTCACCATTTCGATGGCTTCTACTGTGACTGAAGCTGTGACCTCTCTTGAATTACTGTAAACTCACTCAGCACTCCGTCTCACCACCCCACCCAGTGTCCTTCATCACAACGGTTCAGCTGATGCTCATAAATGCGAAGTAAAATCATGCTGCTACTCACCTTGAAACCCCAACATCCAGTCACAGAAAAGCCCCCAATGTTACAGTGGCCTACAAAGATCTTCCTGATCTTACGAAACTTTTAAGTCTCGATGTTGCTTCCATTAAATCTGCTCAAGCAGATGTGGACTGTTAATCTAAAATGCAGGGTCCTGGGCCCGGCGCAGTAGTCTAGTAGCTAAAGTCCTTGTCTTGCACATGCCAGCATCCCATATGGGCACTGATTCCTGTTCTGGTGGCCCCACTTCCCATCTAGCGCCCTACTTGTATCCTGGGAAAGCGGTAGAGGACTGTCCAAAGCCTGGATATTATCTCCCCCAGCTAAAATGTTCCATTACAGGAGAAATTTTGTTTTGTTAAATAACACAATGAAAACAAGGCTTGCTGGATGTATCTACCCTCCTATCTAATCATATATAATCAACAAGTGTCTCATAAGTTATTTGAAAGACAAAGTGACACAGAGAAAGAAAAACAGATCTTCCACCCGCTGTTTCACTGTTTAAATAGCCACAACTGCCAGGGCTGGGCCAGGGTAAGCCAAGAGCTAAGGATACCATCCGGGCCTTGCCTGTGGACAGACAGCAGGGGCGCACGGGGACCCATCCTTTGCAGCTTTCCCAGGCACAGCCGCAGGGAGCTGGATTGGAAATAAAGAAGCTAAGACTTGAACTGATGCTCAGAGGAAATGCCAGTGTTGTAGGTACCAGCTGAACCTGCGGAGCCACAGTGCAGGCCCCAAGCAGGATGTGTTGAATGAATACATAGATTCAAACACAGCTTATTTTCAAGACAGTTTTGAGGTGTGATTATTGAGAGACATTTTAAATTTTCATTTCTGGTTGTCAGGATGGCCGAGTGGTCTAAGGCGCCAGACTCATAAATTTTCATTTCTCCTCCTATCTGACTTTCCAATAAAAATAAAGACCGTCAACAACCAGTTGTGGCACGGACTGGCCCAAACACCCAGTGTGCATCCACATTCCAGTAGGTTCATGACTCACAGTCAGGCTCTGTGTTAACAGGAAGGTGGAGTCACGGACAGAGCAGGGGGGTCAACCCAGCCATTTCTGGATGTGGGACATGGGCACCTTAATTCTAGGTCAATTGCGAGCCCTTAGCATGATTTTTTACGGTTGATTCATACTTCTGGGTCTGTTCTAATCCATAAAGCACAATTCCAAAACCGACACTAGATGGCGCTCTTTAGAAGCCTTCACCGTGAACTGCGAAATAGAATGATGGCATGTTAGAGATAAAATTATTTTAAAGTGTTTTAAAAGTACACAGGTATTGTCCTTTTTATATTTGAAATATTAGTGTTATGTGAATTTTACAAGATCATTAAAAACGTAACGTTTTTAATTCTAAATCTGTTGTCTTTCTGTTTTTTTAGCAAAAGGCAAGACGGAATTTCTTTCTGATCAACATGTTTTCACTGAACAGTTTTAATAGGCTTACCGAAGGCTATGCTTGGTAAGGTACCACCTTAGAAAGTCTTGACAGCGTAATAAACACTTCATCTGATGATGACTTTGAGGAAAAAATTACATTATGTGATTTAAAAGCAAACATTTTTCAATTGATGGACACCATTTTTCAACTCTGAACTTAATGATGTTTTGGTTTTCATTTGGTACTTGGCCATGAATTTCGCAGGGACTCTTCCTAGAAGTGTGGCCCCAGGGATATTTTGCTTCTAAACTTACCAATCATCTGGACTTACTTTCCCAGTGGCCGGACACTATAAAGAAACCTAAATGCTTTCAGAAGGCAAATTTGAAACAAAACATGATAGATTTCCTCATGTGCCTAGAAGTCTAGGAAACAGTGATTATGAGACTAGCTCCATTAATACTTAAACAATACAATGCCATGGGGCCTGGTGTGGTGGCCTAGTGGTTAAAGTCTTTGCTTTGAACACTCCGGGATCCCATATGGGTGCTAGTTCTAATCCCAGCGGCCCCAATTCCCAGCCAGCTCCCTGTTTGTGGTCTGGGAAAGCAGTCAAGGACAGATCAAAGCCTTGGGACTGTGCACCCATGTGGGAGACCCAAAAGAGGCTCTAGGCTCCTGCCATCCAATCGGCTGTTACTGCCATTGTGACCACTTGAGGAGTGAATCAGTGGACGTAAGATCTTCCTGTCTCTCCTCTCAATGTATCTGACTTTCTAATAAAAATAAATAATTTTTAAAAAACCATACTATTTTTGGTTTAATATGCATACAAAGAGAGAGTACATGTATATTTTACAATTTTCCAGGGCACACAAGAATCATCAAATAGGCTTTTACATATATTCTATAAACTCTTCTCTTTTTGAATACTGCATGGCAATACAATAATCTGCTCATGGTGATGTCTTAAAACTAATGAAATGTCTGAGAGAAAATGTAATACACCGTTGATTCTTAATATGTTTTTTTCCAAATACATGGTGGTCCTTTTTCATGATGAATGAAATGCTACTTAATGATCCTGGAGTTAAAAACATTAGTGTGCTTGGGACATTTCTCCCATTCTGTATGAAGTCCCTTTTAGAGCAAATATTAAATATTTAGTAAGCCTGTACAAATTTGATGTTCTTGGCTTCCACTGTATCTTAGATTTTTCAAGAGGGTGAGACATAGGTTTCTCTCAAAGTGCGCAAATATGAAAAACGAAAAACTTTCTCTTTTTCCTCTTTCCCTTACTACCTGGAGAATTTCCAAGTTCCATTATTTATGCAGAGCTTAGAGAGGCACTGCAAACTCAGGGTGTGGGTCTCGGGAGTTTCTGGGCCCAGCTCTCCTTGCGGCTTCATGTCACGCCCAGGCCAAGCACGGCAGCAGAGTCACCTGCCTTGCCTGTTTTGAAAAATGCCACACTGAGCTGCTCTCGACAGCGAGAGAGCAGCAGACACGAACTGCAGGAGCCGAATAGAGCTAACAGAGCAGGCATCTTCCCCAGATGTGCCAATTTGCTTAGGGATCTGGCAGAAGGGATAGACAAGTTAGAAAATGTGGGTGTTTCGGTTTTGTTACTTGGAAATTGCCCAAGACTATTTAATTTGTTGAAAGGGCAGACAGAAAGAGAGAGAGAGAGAGAGAAAAGAACCATCTGCTGGTTCACTCCCCAGATGCCCGGCCTGGGCCAAACCAAAGCCCAAAACACTGGAACTCTCCCCAGACAGCGACCCGACACCGGAGCCTCCTTCTGCTGGCGCACACTAACAGACGCTGCATGAGAAGCGGAACGGGGACTTACAGTCACGATCTCTGACACAGGAAGTGGGAATGCCCGTGGTGAGAGCATCAAATGCACACTCCCAAAGACATGATTAAAAAGCTGAACTAATCACAGGTTATTAATTCAGGCACTTATATATATATTTTTGCATGTCCATCCTAATTCATATATTTGAATGGTACGTAAAACATTTCATATATTAAAAAAAATTTTATATAAGCATTTTTTTTTATCTATAGCCATTTTGCTAATTCACTTCAAGCATCCATTTGTGCATGCACGCACAGGCACACACACACACCTTACACACACACACAGCTCCACTTGGTTGTTTCTCTAAATGTGTTTCTCTTTCCTAACTGGCCCCATTCCAGAGCAACACTGTTTGCTCACATTTAGTCCGAAAATGGTGAAGTTCCGCTTCATTCCTTTTCCCCTCATACCCTGTCATCCATCAAATACACACCAAATCTAACCTCCTAGTACTGTCATCTTAAACTATCACCGGCTCTTACGACTACTGCAACAGCCTGTTAACCATCACGGAACTCCACTTCCCAACGAGTCAGGGGAATCCTTTAAATAGGGCTTCGCGTGACAGTGGCTTTTTCTGACTTCATCTGCTACCCTTTCTCCTTCCCAACGCTACTTCCTGTACCCTGCTGCCACAGGAGGATGTCAGGAAGAATTGAGAATATTTACACTTCTCATTCCCCTTTGCCCATGTAGTCATCTCATTCACTGCTTTTTCTTCAAAAAGAACAATTCCACACAGCCTCTCCTGACTGACTTGCAAAAGCACTTCCATGGCTGCCCAGCTCCGTACATACCTTTCTTTTCCTCATTGTACTTATCCTCTGACATAATGTCTCCAGGACCCAACAGTTCTCAAGTTTTATTTCATGATGCGAACAACGGAATAACCATAAATCTCCCCTCTGGACAATCAGGGAACCATCTGTTGCCATGGAGTCATAGTTGAGACTGACCTCATAATTAACAGGGACCCACACAGCAGGAAGCAAACTTTCCGACTCCAAAGGCCAACACCCAGCCTCCTTAGGGCCTACATGACCGAAACCGCTCCACTCCCATTATTAGTCAAAGGCAGAGTCCCACAGGCAACTTAGAATACTTGAGGGCAAAACCCACATCCACCATGTAGAACGTATGCAATAGACACGTTAGTTGGCTGACCCCAGGACTGCTTAGTTCCAAGGCTGCTATTAGAAAAGTGATCTAGGGGCCCAGTGCCACAGCCTAGCAGCTAGAGGCCTCACCTTGAACGTACCAATATCCCATACGGGCGCCGGTTCTAATCCCAGCAGCTCCACTTCCCATCCAGCTCTCTGCCTGTGGCCTGGGAAAGCAGTCAAGGACGGCCCAAAACCTTGGGACCCTGCACCTGTGTGGGAGACCTGGAGGAGGATCCTGGCTTCGGATTGGCTCAGCTCCAGTTGTTGCAATCACTTAGGGACACTTTCAGACAGAAGATCTTCTTCTCTGTCTCTCCTCCTCTCTGTATATCGGACTTTGCAATAAAAATAAATCTTTAAAAAAGAAAAGTGATCTAGTACTGGGATTTATCATTATTTCCAACCACAGGTGATGATGCAAAGCGAAATAAGTGAAAAAAAAAAAAAAACACTTGAAAACCATTCTTTAACCTCAAATGTGAGCCTTATTTAAAATTAGGCACACATGCAGAAGTGTAGAAAACACGAGAAGAACCTGGCAAAAGCATTCTCAAAGCTCAACCTTTGTCAATCGTATTTTAAGGTTCAACCACTTAAAACGTCTTTCCGCATAATTCAAACACATTCTCAAGCAATGAGTATGATTAAGCTCTGTGGCAGAGCTTGATGTTTGACTTATTAAACACTCAGCTGTGTCATATTGTCATTACTAACTGGCTATGTTTAAACGTCGAAAAAGTAGCTGCTAACTTTTGCGTTGTCTCCTATCAATATAGTCTTTTTCAATACTTCAGCACAAGATGTATTTACTAAATCCTGGTATTTTCTTGGCATTTAAGAGTGTAGTACCTGAATGGCATCAAAAAGTTGGGGCGAGGGTTGAGGGGTGGGAGGGACTCCGGAGCCTGTAAGTCAGGTGGAGTTGACATGAGAAGTAACAACAGTAATAGATTTTGAAGCCAAACAATTTCACGCAAGTGGCTCAAAACAAGTCAGAACGAGTCAAGAGGGGCACTGCACATACTTGACTGCGGGAGAAGCCACAAGTCCTTTGAAATAACTGACCAGCAAGCGGCCGTGTCCTCAAATGAGCTCAGTCGGAATGGAAAAGTGTCCCCAGCGCCGCGGGGGGAAAGCCTGCAGTGAGAGCGCAGAGTTCTGGAGCAGCCGAAGGCGGACGACCCCACAGGCCCCTGCACCTGCAGCGGGAAGGCCGGCCGGGCACTCGGGGCAGCCGGGGGCCGAGGTCCGGGGCGGCCCGGCGCCGGCCGGGATCTGCTGCCTGGCCCTCGCCCTGCCTCGGCTGAGCGCCGGCTTTACCTGGTCGCAGAGGCGCGGCCAGGCCGGGCAGCGAGCGACCACCGGAACCTGCCCAGCCGAAACGCAGCCAAAGTGCTACCAAGTGACTCCCGCCGGCTGTCATTCATAATCCGGCGGACCGGAAACAGGGCGGTTGCGTCACTTCCTGCTGCGCACCGCCAAACGCTTCCCCCGGGCCGTGCTGCGGGAACCTTTGTTTCTGCTCTTTGGGAGCCGGAGGGTGCCGAGGGAGCGGTTCGGAGGGGAGCGCCGGGAGCCGGGCGAGCTGCGGGGCGGAGCGGTGAGTGGTGACGAGCCCGCCGGCTCCCTGCCGCCTCCGGGGGGCTCGAGACCCCCGCGAGGGCCGGGCTGCGGAGCGACCTGGGCAGGGCTGGGTCTCCTCGCTCCTTCTGGAAAGATCCCGTGGGCGGAGGGCTGCGGAGCACCTCAGCGTGTCCGTGCCCTCGGTCCCCGCGCCGACTGCTTTCTTCGCGAATGTTGTGCACCAGGCTGGGGCTCAGCCCCCGGGTTGGGGTCTTTGGAACGCCGTCCCGGATCTCTGGTCCAGGCTGTCACGACCTCTCTCTCTTTCTGCCCTCTTCCGGTCTCTTCCTTCGCTTCGGTTGAGGACCTTCCCCGGTGCTAGTGGGTCTTGCTTTCACTACAACACTGAAAAATTATTGCTGATTGTCCCTTGTCGCTTTAAAGCTTCTCTCCACCACAGATATAGTTGAAAATCGAGTCTTTCCGACAGCCCTGCGTTTCCACAAATGTTTGTTTTGTGTAGTCCCGGGCGGAGAACTCTTTTAGGGGAATGAAAAGTGCAGCGCCTTTTTAAAAGAATGGGTATCGGACAGGTTTGCGAGAGGTTGCAAAGTTTGCTAGAGTTCTTGTGAGGTGACAGCTCTAGGAGTGAACTCTGCAGCAGTAGGTTCCACTTCTTTCATCTTGTGAATGCACCCTGACCGACTTGTGGCTCCTTTAAAAACTGGCAAACGGAAAATGAACTGTGAGTGAAAGCATCTATTGGGCTCACAGTCTCAACAGAGGAGATGACAGAAGTGCTAGAAAACAACATTTAAACAAAAAAATCTAGTTGATGCAAACAGTATTTTTGAGCACCTGAGAAGTTCTGAACACCAGGCAAATAGTGAACCTGCAAGTCCCTAGTTTGGTGGAATTTGTGTTCTGCTGTGATTAATGAATTCAAGCCTAATGAAAGATTAGGAAGAGAGTATTGCTTGAACAATGTACAAATTCCCAGGCTTGGAAAGGCGGTTTGTTTGTTTTGTTGTTTTTGTTTGTTTATTTGTTGACTAGCTTTAGCTTGTTGATGTTTGGACGTTTGGGGAAGTGAAGGGTGAGAAACCACTTTGCCTTTTTGCATTTTTGCTGAAGTGACTTTACTGATGTTTGGGAACTGGCAAGTGGAGGCTTTGCTTTGACCTCTTGATTAGTTGTCTCTGTAAGCAGTTATTTTGTGAAGTAGAAGAGATAGGGAGAATGTAGAGTCTGATTAAGGCTCTTAATTTTACTGGAAATAAATAACAGGCAAAAAAGATTATGCATGATTGCAGAAAGTCCCAATGTTGTACCAAAAAATAAAAAAATGCCCCCATGATATGTCCTCAGCAGGTGAGATTATTGATGGGATTTAGGTTAGGAAGAGCAGAGCAGCTGTTACTATAGCACTTGCGAGGGTAGTGCTTGAATTATGTCTGGCTAAGATCTGGAAGCAGAAGTAGAGACAAAGCTTCCAGTACAAAGAAAAAATAAGATAGCTAAGGTCAGCTAATACCTGTAAGGAGTGTCTGGAGTAAAGTATGATAGCTTTGTGCCAGATAATTAATCTTAAATGCTAGGCCAAGGGGCCAGTGGTGTGATGTAGCAGTTTAAGCAGTCTGCCGTGCTGGCATTCTGCATGGGCAGCAGATTGGGTCCCAGCTGCTCCACTTCTAGTCCACCTCCATGCTAGTGCACCTGGGAAAGCAACAGGAGATGACTCAATTCCTTAGGCCCCGTGCACCCATGTAGGAGACTTGGAAGAAGTGCTGGGCTCCTTGCTTTGACCTAGCATGGCCCCAGCCTATGGGAACCTTTGGGAAGTGAACCAGTAGATGGTACCTTCTCTCTGTAATCTTGCCTTTCAAAGAAATTTTTAAAAGATTTAAAAAGTGTTAGGCCAATTTGTTTTTATTTGAAAGGCAGAGTTACAGAAGAAGAGACAAAGAAATTCCATCTGCTGATTTACTTCCACAGTGACCGGAGCTGGTCCAGGCTGAAGCCTGGAGTTTGGAACACCGTTAGCTTCTCCCAAGTGAGCACAGGGCCTTTATTTGCTGCTTTTCCAGGTGCATTAGCAAAGAGCTGGATCGAAAGTGGAACTGCTGGCATTAGAATCAGCAGCCATATGGGATGGTAAAATTGCAGGTGCTGGCTTAACCATCTGTACCCCAACACCAGGACTGAACTTTACTTTTAAGGCAATAGGAAGCCTTAATTTTCTCATCAAGAATATTTTGAAAATGAGGGCCCAGTGTTGTGGCACAGCTGTTAAAGCCATCAGCTGCCATGCCAGCATCCCTGTGGGTACCAGTTTGTGTCCTTGGCTGCTCCATTTTCAATCCAGCTCCTGCCACCCACAAGAAAAGTCCAGGTGAAAGCTCTGTCTCCTGGCTCAGCCTGGCCCAGCCCTGGCTTCTGCAGCCATATGAGGAGTTAATCTGGATGTAGAGGAGCACTAACTCTCCATCTCTGTAACCTTCCAAATATTTTTTACAAAAAGCAAAAGTTAAAAGGAAGAAAACTGTATTTCAGGGAAATTAATATGGCAACACCGTTGAAGCTAAGGAGAATGACTGGATTGCTTCTGTTGGAGTAAACTAATAAAGGCCTGCTTTTTCCTATCCACAGTGGAAATGAAACATGTGACGGATGTAAAAGGTGTTGCAGAATCAGAATCTAAGGAAAGTCTGCCAGTTCCAATTGTTGGGACATAAGGAAGAAATCAGGGAAAGAGTTGAACCTCCGTTCTAGTCAACAGAGTTGTTATTTGTTGAAGGAAAAGGCAGGCAATGAACCTTTTGAAAGAGGTATTCACAAAGTCAGTTTTAATCATAACCAGTTTGATATGCCCTTAGGACATATCAAATCACGTAGACAGTGTCTACTAAACAATTGGAAATATGAAGTTTGAACTTAAAAGAGATTGGAGTAAGAGTAAAGCATATAAAAGCGCCTGCCTGGTAATAGAAGCTCAAAACGTGCAATATATAAGTGTTCCGGGGAAGAAACAGGCAGCAGAACTACAGAAGACAGCCCTAGCAAAGAAATGGGCATCATCAAGATCAGCACGTGGGAGCTGAGCCAGAGAGACAGTAGTTACAGACAGAAGAAGAAACCTGGAAATACTGAGGAAACACTGTGCCACTCTAAGAGAGTTCTACGACAGAAAGCGACTAACGTGTATTTACTTGGCCAGCACTAACTGAAGAGCCGCTGTTTACCAAGATGCGCTTGGCTAGTTACAGTGGGAAGTAAAACCAGTCTACTGACTGCTCTCCTGATGAGAAAGATATTTCTTACCTAATTAACAATATGATGAATATAATCAATCAGTGCAAGATGTTTTTACCTCCTGTAACAGTAAAACGAATTTTTTGGTGAAGAATGTATGGAAAATAAATTGAGACTTGAAGGGTGACAAAGGGCAGGGAGATGGTACGGCTTCCCTTAAAGCATGGAGGTAATAAAGACAAGATATATTGGAGGACTTGGAACAGTTTGTATCAATGTATTGGAGTAACAGTAACCGGAGTAATGTTTAATGAGCATGTACTGCGAGCCGGATATTGTTACAGCTCCTTTACATGTATTACCCGATCTTGTTGGGCATTAGAGATCTGCTGAGAATCTTATTCAGCATGTGGACTATGGAAAGTCATAAAAGTATTTGGAGTGAGTGATACAAGACAGCTAAGAAGGGATGAGAGTGGTTGTGGGGAGACTGATAATGTTTTACTGTGGGCCAGGTAATGGGAGGTTGATCTGAAATGATGGTGGTAAGGATAGAAAAAGGTAGATGAATTTCTGATCTATTTAAAGGTTTACTGGTTGAGTTGGGAATGGGAGGTGGGGAAATTAGGAAGAGGAGTTAAGACTGGCTCCCAGGTTTCTAACTGGAACAAAGTTGTAAGTATTTGAAAAAGGTAGTTATAGAGGAAGTACTGGTTGGAAGAAAGGAGAAGTGCATGTGAGAGGCTCTGTAAGGCGCATGTTTGATGGAGGCTACAGTGAGATAACCAAGTCAAAGTGGCATTTGAGTCTTGGAAGAGAAGCATGGGCTGGAGAGACAAATTATATAATAGCAGTCCCAGAAATTGGAGGCAAAACAAAACATATGCCTGCAGATCAAATTGTCTAGGGCAGTAATTCTCAAACTTCGGGAAGCGTCAGAATTGTAGCGCTTCACTTATTGCGGCTTGGAGCAGAGACTGCGCGTTTGTAAATCTGATTTGTTCCAAGTGATGTCTCTGCTGTTAATCCAGCATGATTTCTTAAAGTTGTAGATCAGAAGAGATCAGATTGAGGTACATACAGGGAATGTAGAGAAAGAAGTGGGAGAAAAATAGTATTTATTAGATTTACCAAAGACTGTAGGTGGTTTTGATGAGGTCATTTTCATAGGACAGTGGAACAAAGGTCAAAAGGCAGAAATCATTCCATCGTAGAAGGAAGGACAAAAAAGAATTTTAAAAAATAAATGATGTTTTGAGAAAGTCTTGAAGAGATGAAAAGATTCCAATGAAGTACAACCTTCCCACATATAGAGAAAAAAAGAAGAAGAAATAATAAGCTAGACAGTTCAGGAAAAGACAGAAAACGGATACAGGTGTTCATGCATGGAAAGCTGCTTCATCCTTTTTATCAGATCAGAAAGAAGAGAAAGGA